TCTCTCTCTCTCTCTCTCCATTTTGACACATGCTTTGGGTTTTCTCGTGTCATATTTTAAAAAGGCCACGGCGCATGACTGACCTTCATCTCTGTGCAAACCTGAAGGGATCAACGTGCATGTAAACATCAAAAGGGCGCTCCTGTACAGACGTGCAATTAGGAATATTGTTGAAAACCTCTGCTGACATTAAACACCGAAGCGGCTGCAAAGGGGCCAAAATGTACACAAAGTATTCCTCAGTATTTGCTTCAGCACGTACAGCTCTGTGGGCTGCTGGAGAGGACACTCACAATACCTACATTTGTTTTGTTTTGTTTCCTCTCCTTTTCAGGATGGCACCAATCTCTGAAATTACACAGATTACAACGTGCGATTTAACACTAATACAAGTCACTTAAACGCGTCTTTTAAAGGATGCGTAAATTACCACTTTTTCTGGACGTCTTTATGTTTACATGAATGGTTATTTGCCTTAACACAACCGACTTGGGGGTCTTACTCATATTTTTAAATTTACCACCGCATCACCGCTTGTGCCCCCCACCTGCCCACCCTGCAGCTCCCAGGCCACTAATGCGTCAAGGATAATGTTTACCGTGGGGAAACGTGTTCAACTTGTTTCCATTGAGGTTCCTCCAGTGGCTGAAATAACAAAAGGTCACTGGTGAGGGATCAAAGGTCTCCAAAAAAACTACTCAATCGTCAGCGTTTTTAGTGAACGCACACCTTCCTCCTTTCTCCCCCTCTTTGGTGTGATAGATGTCCACCTGAGGATGCATAACGCAGCAGCCACGTTACTGGTTTTAATACGTGTTTATCTGATTAATCACACAACAACTGGGAAAAATTAACAGTAAATTGCTGTTTCAAATAAATAATTGCAGGTTATTTAAATCCCCATGCAGTCAGACAAATGATGTGATTATTAAACTCGGAGAAATCATCGTATTAGATCGATTATTATTATTGTTATTATTATTATTGCGTTTAAATTTAAAGCGCATATTGTTAATAATGATTTCCAGACTCTACATGGCTGTCATATGTCTGCACAGCTCACGAGCCCAAACTCGTCCATGTCGAAGTGAATTGGTCAAAAACCGCCTGTGAAGGCAACGCATCACTTGTCAGACAAATTGTGTAACGATGGACTGAAAGCTGCGACTGTAGCTCTCTGCAGGAGACTTATTCCCTCAACTCACACTGTTTCTCTGCTTTTGGCAGCAGGTTTTTACCCTCCTGTACAGTGTTGGTGGGCCTTTACGCAATAATGATCACATTTGCTGCAGAGGTTTTAAGATAAAGGCGCCAAAAAAAATAATGCCACTGAATTATACTTTAGACTTCTGCTTGCGTTTTTGTATTCGTTATATTTTCTTGATCGCTGAGTGTGTTAGAGTTTTGTACAAACACACACAACCCCTCCAAAACTTTACAAAGCAGACATTACAGCACACAGCCTCAATGTGTCTTCCTGATCCATAATTTAATTCTTGAGGGATATTTTGTAAATAATATCATATTCTTCCTCTGTGGACCCCCCCTCCAATACAGGTTTCATACCTCTAAAAATATATTTATTTCTCTTCAATAACTTGTACTTTTTTGAACTTTACGTTTTAATTCAAACAATACAGTAAAGTTGCATTGCAAGATAATATAATCAGATTTAATGTAATTAAACTAAATGCGACATATGGATGAACCTAATACGTTTTGCATCTGGATAATACCAATGTTTAAATTATTTAAAAATAATTTTATTCATGTTTTTTGTCCACAGATCGGTTTGGTCGCAGCTGGGTCGTGAAGTAGCTCCACGCTGCAGTGGCTGGACTTGTACCTGTTTATATCACAGCTTTCTTTCATGTCAAAGTGTTTGCTTTGGTCATAATTGATTTCACGGGCCGAGCAGGTCCTTGTTTACTCAAGATGATGGAAGAAGCATGTGGGTCAAAGAGATGTTTGTGCTGCTTCTTTCAGTCCTTCTTTATTTTATTTTTTTTAGATTTCTGTCATGCTGTTGTGTTGGTCCCAAATGATAAAGAGTTTGAGGAGATACGCAGCAACAGGAAGAAGTGCAGAGAAACTGAAGTGTGTTCATCAACATGATCAGGTAAGTTGTACATTGTTAACATTTAAATAGTGAGTCATTTTCTTCTAATTTATCTTCATAATTGTAATGATCCCCGGATGGATGGCATATTACATCCACTTCTCTCCCAGAAATTACCTAACATGAAGATATTTCATCCATTATTAAGGATTCAACTTCTAATATTAAGAATCGTGTTCAGGCGTTTTGCAGACAGCTCTCTGGATATTCTATGTCCAGTTTTAAATGTCTCTCTTGCGCCGCAAAGATTGAGCAGAGGAGAGAAAAACTGCTGTGCCAGAAACTGAGTTCGTTTACATCAGCATACTGTACAGTTATAAACCATGATGACAGCCACTCCCAACTCAACTATCTTCTTCGTGTGTGAGCAAAGTGTCTTAACCACCTTTTGTTTTTTAATTTCCAACAAGTGAAGACTTGAGAAAGTTTTGTTGTCACCACAGTGATATAGAATGCAGTGCAGCTCCAGACATACCTGTCCTGCTTTCATCTAGGCTGTGAAACAGGCGGATTGTTTCAGTATGTCGATTAAAATGTGTTTTAAAGAGGTGTAAAGGACAGTGTGTGTATTCTTAAACGTGTATCGTGTGACAGCGGATCATTTCTCTTCTCCTCAGTGGAGATGAGTGTTATGTTGCAGCACAAAAAACGTTTCTAAACACTCTCAAATCAAACTTTCATCTATAGCTTGTATCGTCTGCAAGCGCGTCTGTTTGTTTATTTCACCTCATGGGAATTAATGTGAACCAAAATGTGTCTCATAAGCTACATATAGGCTATTCTTCATCTAACTGTGAGGTCGTTTATACACCATCAGTAACCGAATTAATGCAGAACTGCAACGAAAAAAACTCACCGAAATAATTTCACACTGGAAAGATCGAGTCAGAATAAAAACTCTGAACTCTGGAAACATTTTTTTGTGTTTGTTGTTGTGATCTGCGTTTATATTCAGCACCTGTCAAATGCACTTATTCAGGAGGAGGAGGATGATGATGATGATGATGATGATGATGATGATGATGATGATGATGATAGGGTCTTCCTAATCATCATCAGCTATCATTAATGTTTCACCAAACACTTCAATACCCCTGCGATCCGATTAATTAGAAACAGATCACAGATATTATTCCTTCAGTAGTTCTTTGTGTCAGTCTGAGCTCTTCAGTCTCTTAGTCAATTAGAAAATATCTTCATCTCCCAGAGATACAAGAAGTTCAATGTCAGACACACAAAAGTAAACCGACACACTTGACAACAAATCAATCAGCCCACACCACAAAGTCCCCAGAGTCTGAACTCCACCATCATACAGCACAGACTCAAAGCACACAATAAGTCCTAAATAATAAGTAACACATCTTTTCAGAAGTTAAAATCTCACTAAGCGAGATAATACAATTTTAAAGGTTAAAGAAGAGACTCAGTTTTATTTGTATAGCGCCAAAAATAACTGAAGTTATGCCAATTAATATTCAATTTTTAAAGACTAGACCGTACTCCGTTATTAAAAGTCATGGTTTGGGAATTAAAAAATAAATAAATTGTTAATTAGCTGCAACTTTATGGCAAATAACATTTTCGATGCAGGGATCAATTATAGCAACTCAACTGGAAAGTCAAACAATAACAGCGGTAATTAGGGCTGCATTTAAATATTATTAATTCATTATTATAAATAGAGTCACATCCCCTTATTATAAAATGTTTCTTCTTTTTATTATTATTATTATTATAAGGCTACTCATCATCATGTCGTGCAGCGGTACAGAATCTATTTCCCATGCAGTGATTTGTTTCAGTCATAATCAGATCCATCCGCGTTAAATTTATTGCAACCTGACATCATGACTTTGTATCAGTGGGCCTGAACCTTCAACACATGAAAACACTTCTTCTTCTTCTTTAGAGAATTAATGTAATCCGTCAACTGATTCTTCTTTGTGGTCCAAAAAAACAAAACAGAACCAAAAAAGAAAAGTGGAGATTTTCTAATCCTCCAGATCCTCCGTGGAGAAACCTGCAGGACGGTGGGGGGAGAGAAAAATGTTCCCAGTTTCCCGGTTTACTGTTCCCAGCAAGGTCCTGTGGGAAATCCAAAGCCACCACTAATAGGTTATTATGGGGACGCGCAGTGATTTCTTGCTTCACAGAGAGATTGGAGGCCTGTCATCTCATACTGTCCCCAAAACTGACTGACATCTGCAATGAGA